ACAAATCATATGCACTACTTTCCTCTTTTTTATGTTAAAAAATTAATTTTATTTTTAATTTATCCAGAAGCTGCTGATGTACTACCAAATATGACTTAATTAGTTGCTTGATTGACACTAATGTACAACCAAATAAGAATTAATTAGTTGATTGATTCGCAGAGGATAAGATGCCCGCTAATTGGTTGATAAAGATGTGGTATATTAATCTTGTTACTTGTCCAACACTTTTTTCACATCAAATGGTATTAGATAACGTAAGCGGAAAGTTGGGAAAGCTCCACACCACAAATTCATACCCACCCCAATCACTGCTTTACAATTCCTAATGAAGAATCATGACGACATCCTTTATTGCAATTGGTGGAATCCCAGGAAGGCGTCTGAATCACGAAATCAAAATGTGAAAGCAGAATATGGTCAGCTGATATGGTAGTCACATTTTCTGCTAACCATTTCAGAAAGCAAAAACAAGATTATGGCATTAATGGGCGTGAAGCCTCAGAAACTTCACTTGCTTCCCTAGCTTCAGCATTCAACTTACGATCGTCAAGGTAGTGCTGATAGGCATAGGAAACGAAGCCTAAAATAGCCAACACCATGGATATTCCCTTTATGGCACTCATTTCATCATGGAAAACAATCATGGCTGCTATTGAGATAATTGGCAACCCCAGTGCAGCTATGACATTGGCAAAGAGAGCAGACAACTCAAAGACCAATCCTACAGAACTAAAAATGGAAAGCTGCCAAGCAATAGTAGTCCAAAGCAGAGTCATGACATAGGAAACCTTCCCCAGTGCATATCCATCCATTTCTGTCTTTAAAAGTTTCCAATCTCCGGATGCGAGGAACCCTATCATATAGCAATGGATGCAACAAGTGATTCGTAGATTACAAGATCCATGACAACTTTAAGTGACTGCCTCTTTAGAACCTTCCGAAAGACCAATTGCTGGGAAGCAAGCGACAAGCCATACGCTGCAGCCCCAAGAATGGTGCATATGATCCCTAGTACATACTTTTCATCAGAGACTCCAGCAGGCCTTTCAGAGCTGGTATTTGCTACCAGGAGAACGGAGGAAATAGTGACAAGAACTAGAGAATTGATGATGAAAGGAGTGAACTTCTGTGAATTGAGGAAATAAGAGAACAAAGCGTTAAAGGCCAACTGGGATGCCGAAATCAGGGTCAACGTAGATACAGGGAGGTACTCATAGCCAACTGAATACACATACGAATTTCCTGCCATAAGTAGTCCAAGGTATACATAGACGCAAACTAGCAATAGAACTGCTGCTGGTTCTGTCTTGACAGCAGTACTACTGTTCAACATGGTAACTTTGCGTTGTGAAATGAAGTAATAAGGAAGGAGAATAGGGAAACCTACAACTTGAACAAGTGTTTCCACCCATTTGCTACTTCCGCCTTTCTCATAGTAAAGTCTTGTAAGCAGTGAACCTGCTGCTTGGCCACCGAGGACCAAGATCGTGTAGAGCGCTATCCGGAGCCACCTGTTCATGTAGTTCGGAGATGGTCGATACACTGTTCCGGTACTTGAATTTGCTCCTTCAGCCTCTGGCAAGCATAAAAGGGTAAACAATTTATTCTACTTCTAACAGAGATGTGCTAATTAACCTAATGATTAAAAATTAGGTCAGCTGCACTACTCCATTCCAGAAATGGTAAATTCCTGTTGCACAAGCAGCCATGTTATCTAGAAAGTACTGGGTGGAGTGGAGGTGGTGTTACTACTAAGATCTCCATCCCTATAACAAGCTAGTTTTGATCAATAAAGTAAAGAAAGAAAGGAAAAAAAGAACCCATTGTTGTCATGCTTCTTAGATAATATTTCCCATCTTTCAAAGTATGTATAGAAATAGGTGAGCACTTACCCCTGACGAGGAGTTGTATTTGATGAGCTTCAGCCATGTGTAAAAGGAGTGCCAGAAATGATCGAGGCAAGGATAGAAAGAGTTGATCAGAGAAAGAGATTGTAATCCGAATCAAAGCAAATGCCTTTCGTCATTTATATTTGGATCCAATGCAGGATGGTGATGATCATAACTGCCAGTCACCTCAGTCCCTGACAACTCTTCCTTGGTCTCCTTGCATAATATATAAACTTTCTGATCTTACTCTTACCATTAGGAAGCTGTCGCTATCAATCAGTTTCCTGTTTTTGGCTTGCATTTTCAACTTTTTCATGATTTGAAGATAAATGGTAGAGTAGATTATTAATTAGCTCCTGAAAGAACAAAACTTTTCTCACAAATTTCATTCCTACACGACTGCAAATGGTTGGCTGATACATTACAGAGCAAATCTGAGGAATAAATTATTGCTTTATTTTACTAGTGGACAAAAATCTCTTTTATCTTTGTATAGAGTTGAAGAAGTAACTTTCTATTTCTTTTAATGGGAAATCCCCTGAAAAAAAGGAAGAGAAAAAACAGAGCATGCCAACCTAATGTAAAATATTGAACTATATCCCCTTTCAGGCTGAAGCCAAAAACAGAACATAACTCTGGGAAAAGATTCCTGGTTTGTCTTCTAGCAAGTAGCAATGTAGCATCCATTTATGCATAAGCATAATCTCCTAAGGCTCCGTTCGGGACAACGATTGAGCACCAGCTTGGTGCGGAAAAGGATAAACTCGCCGTGGAGCAAGTGTTCGGGGGTACGATTGGGACATTTGGTCGCGCCATACCTGCCAATCGCCACTGAAGCTTCCTTTTGCTCTTCTCGTGTTACCCCCCACGTATGAAGGAAAAATGAAAGAGAGATATCGGCTTTGTTTGGGAGGGAGATAAAGAAATTAAAAATAACTTACAAGTAGTGTAAAAGTAATATAATAATTAATGTTAAAATTAAGTTATACATAATCATAGTTAATTAAAATAAAATCATTAAGACATTATAATTAAGTATATAAATATTGAAATATATTAGAAAAATATAGAATTTGGTACTTATAAGTATGTGAAATATATTATTAATTAATATATTCATTTTATTAATTTCAATATATAAACAATTTGTAATTATTTCATTATTTTTTTATTTTATTACAATTTTATGTGCTTTATTTAATATACAATATTATTAGTTAATACTAATTATTACTTCATCTAATAGAAATTTTAGTAACATTTAAGAATATTTAAGGATATGAAATGACAAAAATAGCTTGAGGTTTTTTGGTCAGTGTGTGATTGCTATGATGTCATATATTTTTTTTCCTATTAGCAGCAACTTGTCTTGGGTCCATGGCAGTTTTGGAATTTAATATTCATGCTGTATACGCAAGCAACTTTTTTTTTTTTTTTTTTGGAATCGATTATTGGTTAGGTGACCTGAAGCAATATTCTTTTTGCGATTTTTCAATTTTTTTAGCAAGATTGATTTTTTTTTTTTTTTACCAAAATGACTGAATTGTTTAGTAAACAATAGTTTGATGCTTATTTTTAAGAGGAAACCCATATAGGTAAAATAAATAATAATTTTTTATAATTTTTCATTGGAATTTACCTCTCCTTTTCTATCCTTTATATTGGGCTTGCGTTTTTGTCATCTCGTCTCGATGATCCTTATATCCCACACCCAATTCATGGAACCCATCGTAAACCCAATAGGACCAAACCAACAACCCAAGTCGTCCAGAAAAATTGCAATTTCCTGTCATAGTTATTACTCTTCGTCAGCTGTCGGCTTGTTTTTTTGTTCCCGACACTGTAGACTGCAGGCTGCAGCTAGATTTTGATAATTTGAAATAAGGCATGAAATGAATAAAAGAGGTATAAGTAATATAATTTAAAATTTTAAAAAAATTATAAATATGTTTAATAAAATTTTAAAAGTTATATTTTTTATTTTTAATATGAATTATAATAAATAATTTTTATATAAAATATAATATAAATATAATATTTTATACGATATAATAATAAAAATTATCAAATTTAATTGCAAACTTAAATCAATAGAAAAAAAAAGCTGATAGCTCCCAACTTGTTTTCCAATCCATAATCCACTGGTAATTCCCACTTCCCAACTTCTTTTCCGATTTGCAATATGAATGATTGACATCCGCATGTTAAAGTGTTTGATAAAAGTTTATGTCCGACAAAAAATATTGCTCGACATCGATTCAATAATTTAATATTTTTGTCCACCGAAACGAGAGGATAAAATTGTTTCTTCCGACCCAAACCATATATTCCTTGATCACATAATATATACTAAGAAAAATGAGAAATTAACTCAACTGAAGCATGATTAATGAATAATGATCACCTTTTCTAGAGCATAGAGATGTTATTGGTGTGTTGTATTCATTAATGCCCATGCCACTTGTGAAGCATTTTTATGCAACCACTTGTAAACAATTTTATTCAAGTGCCGCTGTTTTTAGTTGACTTTTTTTTAGTGAGGGGATGAATAATGATCAATAAAAATTAATTTTGAAAATCGAAATCTATAAATTAAAAGTTCTTCTTACGTCATTGATTAAATGTTTAAATTTTAAAAATCTTTAAATACGTTTTGATATTTTTAAGGTAAATATTTTTATAAAAAAATTATGAAAAGTTTCACCGAATTAATTAATTTTAATTTTTAAAATTATTTTTTATTTGATCAATTAAAAAAAGTATTAAAACTTAACCTTAAAAAATTTTATCAAATTTTGCCTTTGATATTGTGTTTTTTCCCCCCCCCCCCAACATATCATTCTTTTGATATGTTTACATCAATTTTAATATATTTTTTAGATAATTATTTTTAATAAAAATTGTCATAAAATTTTTATAATTAAATAAATACTGATAAAATTTGAATTATAAACAATATTTTTATAACTCTTTTTTACATATTATTAATTTTCTCTTCTAATTATACCAATTTATCTATTTAAAATTTTTATTAAAACTTTAATTAAATTGCTTTTATTAAAAAATTTCATCTAAAATTTTCCTACTGCAAAAAAGAAAAGCCCCATGTAGCAAATTCATTCCACCACAATCACTTTATACCAATTCCCAATCTAGAATAATTATAGCTTTCTTTAATGATTGCTTGGAAACCCCTGAAGGCCTCTCAATCAAAGATAATATGCTATATTATATACAGATTATGTAAAGATTACCAAACAGAAGATTATATAGAGACTGAAACTGGCCTTGATTTTCTTGATACAGAAGCTACCCTGATTGAGCGTCAAGTCTCAGAAATTTCACTCCCATTTTTAGTTTCAGCATTCAAATCACGATCGTCAAGGTACTGCTGATACACATAGGAAAGGAAGCCCCAAACAGCCAACACCATGGCTATTCCCTTTATGACACTCATTTTGTCATGGAAAAAAAGCATGGCTGTTATTGGAGCAATCGGCAATCCCACTGCAGCTATGACATTGGCAAAGAGAGCAGACAACTCAAACACCAATGCTACACCACAAAAAATGGCGACCTGCCAAGCAACAGCAGTCCAAACCAGGATCATGACATAGGAAGTATTCCCCAGCGCATACCCCTCCATTTCTCTCTTAACACCTTTCCACTCTCCGGATGCGAGGAATCCTATCGATGTAGCAATGGATGCAACAAGTGATTCGTAGATTACAAGATCCATGACAACTTTAAGTGACTGCTTCTTTAGAACCTTCCGAAAGGCCAGTTGTTGGGAAGCAAGTGACAAGCCATTTGTTGCAGTTCCAAAAATGGTGCATATGAAGCCAATTACATACTTTCCATCAGAGACTCCAGGAGGCCTTTCATAGTTATTATTTGCTACCAAGAGAATGGAGGAAATGGTGAGAAGAACTAGAGAATTGATGATGAAAGGAGTGAGCTTCTGTGAATTGAGGAAATAAGAGAAGAAAGCGTTAAAGGCCAACTGGGATGCTGAAATCAACGCCACTGTAGATACAGGGAGGTATTCTAAGCCAACTGAAAACAGATACCCATTTCCTGCCATAAGTAGTCCAAGGTATATATAGACACAAAACAGCAATAGAAGTGATGATGGTTTTGTTTCGACATCAGCAGTACCGGTCGGCGTGATACCCTTGCGTTGTGAAATGAAGTAGTAGGGAAGGAGAATAGGGAAACCTACAACCTGAACAAGTGTTCCCACCCATTTGCTAGTTCCACCTTTCGCATAGTAAAGTCTTGTAAGCAGTGTAGCTGATACTTGGCCACAGTTGCCAAATATTATGTAGAGGACTATCCGGAGCCACCTGATCTGATGAGGTCGCAAAACCGTTCTCTCGCTGACTGGCCCGAGACTTGAATTTGCTCCGTTAGCTACTAGCATGCATAAAAAAGTAGTAATTTATATATTGACTTCTGCTTTTAACAAAGACTTAACATTATACAGAGCAAGAGTCATTTTTGGCATTTAAAAGTTCTTTTATTTGTTGCTGTTAAGTTGGAAGTTGAAGCAAAGAGTTTGACTTTAAGCCTAACAAATTAAATTCTCTTCAATGATATTAATATATAATTAGATTAGAGACACTGCTCTATTCCAGCAACGAAAATTCCTGTTGCAGATCAAGCAGCAAAGTCATCTAGTAAATATAGGGTGGAGATTTTGTTACCATTAAGATGTCCATGATCTGTGTAACAAGCTAGTTTTGAATACAACTCTTTTAGGTACTCCTTAGAAGTATGTTGAGAGAGTTGAACACTTACCCATGATGTGAGGTTGTAATTGTTGAGTTTCGGGCATGCCTAAAAGGAGTGCCAGAAGAGATAAAGTGAAGGAGAAAAAAGAGATGATCAGAGAAGCATTGTAATCCGAATCCCAGCAAATGCCTTTTGCCACAAAATTCATTGGATGTAACTTTTGAGATAATTTCTATATATATAAAAATATCCAACAGGAAACCAATAGCCGAAGCTGAAATTGGTCCGTAAAATTGCATTCTACTGTGTTAATTATTCTTCTTCCTCTTTTTTTTTCCTGCTATTTGGACCTTAAGTGGGCTTTTGTCTCTGTTCTCATATTGAAAATTCAGCCCGATTGAAAATCGCTTTATATCTTTTCTCTCTTTAATAGGACCCGTTGGTAGTTAAGGCCCGGTTGTTTCAAAGTTCAAGACCAACTTAGCAAGCAATCATATGGGAGCAAGCAATCATGCTTTCTGAATAGTGAATACCCTTGCTAAAATATTTTGTCAATAGAGTTTTCTTTTTTCGTCAACTTAAATATAGATACTCAAGCGGGTCATCCTTCTGAGAGAGGAACCGACGATTGCCCCGGCGAGTGATGTCTTGTCATTGCAAGTTTTGGCTTATGACGGATGGTTGATGGTAGGAGTAGATCCTAACCCATTATCTCACCGACCAACTCTTTTTTTTTTCCAATTTGCACTGATTATGATTCTTACGTGCGCATTTTAATTGTTGCATTGTTTGTGTGGCGGCTGGTAATAATGCCAGAGGGGGCCTCCCCCCCCCCCCCAGTTGACTCCCGTTGTCAGGTATTTATATTTATATTAAATGAATTTTAACAAAAGTTAAATTAATTATTTTTTTATTTTCTTAATAAGATTAAAATTTTCAATGAAGTATGAAATGTGTTTTTCATTTTCTCTAAAATAAATGAGGTGAAAGTTTAGGAGATTTAACTAAAGGAAATGAGAGATTTTGCTTAATACAACTACTTCTCTTCATATATATTTTTAATTTTTAATTTTTTTAAAAATCTCTATGACATGTTGTTCTAATTTCTTTTCCATAAAAAAATTATATTGGAATTACTTTACAAAAAGACAAAAAAACACTAAACTTCTAATATCAAAATTTCATTTTTATTTTTAAAAAATATTTAGTATTCTTGTTTTGATAAGATGTTAAAATATGATTGATTTATTCATACTTTTTTATTTTAATTTTAAATTGTCAAAAAAATAAAAAAAATTCTATAATTCTTTGATAGATTATGTAATTAATTATTCAATAATTAATTGTAAATCATGTTATTATTAAAAGTGTAATGTTGTTACAATAATATTTTTATTTTATAATATTATGAGCTTATCTTGTTTTTATTAGTATAGTGTTTGCATATATATATATATATATATTTATATAAGATAAAATATTCTTACAAAAAAAAAATTTATATTATCAATTAGTTCCTTCAAAATTATATGTCAAAATTCACCATTAATTATTTGAAATGTATATATATCTGACGATGAATAATGTTTGACAGATTCTCAAAATATTTTATATTTGAAATATTGTGAATCTATAATGTATAATTTATTCATAATAATGTTTTGTCATCTAAGTATTAAGCAGTTTTAAAATGTCAAAAACTCGATTAAATAAATATTGTTAATTGTTTATCTAACCAAAAATGTTTTTATAAGCCTGAACAGAAACGAATCAAAGGCTTGTTTCGAAATTGATAAATTTTAGGTCCTTCCAAAATACCAAGCTCGGATGAACTCTTCAGATTAAAAAAAGAAAAAAGGCAGATGATTTTATTAATCCAAGCACTTAAAAGGAGATATAAACAAAAACCAGATGCAGTTTGCAAATCACGCAATTGTTTTATCCATTAACAAACTATGAAAAACCCCATCAGTTGTCATATAAACGATAATTCTGATACTATTTATCAAGTAAAAAGTTTCAATCTAATTAAGTCAATAAAAATAAAATCAAACGATTAATCAATAACATAAGAGATAATAATTTAATATGATTCGATCAATTTGATTTATAACTATGAATGAAAAATAAGATTCATTAATTATAAAAAATTATAAATATATATCAATCTCCTATAATATTATAAAGTATTTTTAATATATACCCATATACATTTATATACCTATAATTACGTGAATCTTCTCAATTTCTTCTAATCCAATCACAAACATATAAACATAAACATTCGTAAGACGTAAATTATCAGTATTTTTATGAGATGTTTATCTCATAAAATTTTATAATTTTTTTACATATTTTTCTCATAACTCACTCTATAAAAATTCCATCTATTTATAAGTATATAAATTTAACTATTAAAAATTTTTCTTTTATAAATCTTTTTATAATCTCAACGTTTAAATCATCTCACAGCCTGTCCCTACCACTTTGAAAGACCCCTTCCAAATTGTGAATTTGTAGGTTCTTTCACTCACTGCAATGTCATGTTCTATTTTAGATATCTATTTCACCAACATGGTGACTTTGCGTAAGATTAATAAAATCAAAACGATTGATGACTGAGATGATATCACGAGTTAATTAAATATCAATGTAGTTAATGATTATTAAAATAAAAAAAAATTAAATAATATAATGCAGGTAAAGATATTTATATCTTTTACTTAAAAAAAAAAAAAACTATCCACACATCTAACATTAAATAACTATTTTTTTCAAATTTTTTATCGTCGCCCATGTATGGTACTACAATATATTAGGGTGTGTGTTTTTGTCATGTTGATGATACCATCCCGCGTCTAAATTATCGTCCTCATGACAAATCCAAAAGGAGCAAACCAATAGCCCAATTGATACACAAAAATTGCAAACCCAGCCACTTCTCTCTTTAGGGAGTCCATTGGAAGTTAAGGCCTGATTGTTTCAAAGTTCCAAGCCCAAATAGCTATTTTGGATCCATCATTAAGGATTGAAAAAGGTTTAAGGTTTGGGAGGAGAAGAGCTATGAAATGGTTTTCCCTTTCCGAATCTGAATCCTGATTTGATCATTTTAAAAGCTGAAACTGCTTTCCGTGTCCGGTTTAGCACATTGGAGTGATAAAGAACCAATTCCATAACAAAGCAATCGTATGCGGGCACCAATCTTTAACCCTCATGCATGCCTACCGAATACCCCTTGCTAAAACATTTTGTCTCGCAGGATTGCCAACGGCAGGTTATTTTTGTCTTCAAATTGATATAGATAGTTTATAGTCAAAGACTGGCAGCCGAGGCTCAATCCATAAATTCGTCATGGATTTGTTATCCTTTTCTGAGAGAGGATTGGAGGAGTTTCTCTACCCTAAACCCATTTCCTTGATCATCTATTCTAAGATCAAACGTGAAACTTGAGGATTGATTAATGATCAGCTTTTCGAGAGGATCAAGATTTGTTTGATTCTTGAGTGCCGAGCGAGTTTGAGGAATTATCAAGATTTATTTTCCTTTTTTTTGTGTATAAAGTTGATGAAATAACTTTTTATTTATTTTCCTTGGGTAAAATATTGAACTACCCATAACAGGATGAAAGCCAAAAACAGACTATAAATCTAGAAAAAGAGATCTGCCTTGTCTTTCAGGATCCAGGCCAGTGGAAAAATGTTGTAAGAGACTTGTTTTTAATCCACCATTGTTATGTTAAATAGTTGCAGGTTTACGGAAAGGCAATTCAACCTGTAATGACGGTTCCGATTTGATTCTATCTTAATTTTATTGTTTGTTTGAAAATTTGGTATCAGATTGGATAATAAAAAAAAAAAATTGAAATTAAGTTAGAGTTCAAATTTTAAACAAATTCGATTTGATTTAATTTAATATATATAAAAAATTATTTTTAATTATTTATTTAATTTTATATTTATATTTAAAAATAATATTTTATTAATTTTAAATTAAATTAAATATAATTTTATATAAATCTAATCGAATTAAATTCAAATATAAAAAAAATAAAAAATTATTTAATTAAATCAAATTTAAATTTTATATGTATAAAATTAAATCGATAAATAAAAATTTGACCGGCCCAACCCATTGACATTCATATGTACAATAGTAAAAGAGTGGGCAACACGCATCAATTAAAGATACGTTGCAAATCTATCCTATATATTTGAACCTTCCAATGTAGGACAATATTTTTTTTTCCTATTAAACAATGGGCTGAGGTATGCATTTCGTGCTATATCAGTAATATGCTAGGGCTTCGTCGCAGGATAATTTTTTATTTTTAAATTGTATTTTAAATATAAAAAAATAAAATTTTTATGTCAAATTTTAATAGATAATAATATATAAATATAAATTATAAGTTATTTATGTATAAATATATTTTTTATTAAATTAATATATTAAATAATATCTTTATTAATATGCTACATATATAAATTAAATAAATAATAAAATATATTCTTATATATATTTTAAAGAGTGTCGGCAAAACACTTTAAATCTAATTCTAATTTGATCAAAATTATTTAAAAAAGTAAAATTTAACGCAATTTTTATTTAAAAAATGCATTAATTAAATTATGACGAATTGAAACTTATAATATATAAATTATTTTGTCATCCTTACATCAATTAAATTTTTTGTAATAAAATTTATCTAATAAATTAATGTTACATTTAACACATAAAATTAGTTGAATGATAAGATACTAATTATTTAATCACATATCCAAACAAATGATATATATATAGTTTTTTTCTTTTAAAAAACCTTCCGTTCTTTACTTTATTTTTTTTTCTTTTTTTTAATTAATGTTTATTCAAACATAACGTAAACTTTTCATTCAGTAGGTAAAGTTAATTACATCTGCTAAATCTTGTTTTAAGGAGTTTTAAGTTCAATTGAGTTATGCACTGTTTGATTCTGTCAAATAAATGGTGGTAAAATATTAAATTGTAGCATTTTGAGAAGCAAGTATGAAGAGGGTGAATATTAACGTGTATCCTTTGCCAGTTTCTTTTGATTACTGTTTGGCACCTACATCGCGTTAGATTTAGTTATTTTGTGTTTTAAATTATTCATTAAGCACGTAAGAGATAAGTTTTTTCCTAGTCCTTTGCTTAAACATAATAATTAGTATGGGACGTCAGATGACACCTACCTAACTGTTCTTTGTGCTCTTTGGTTTTGTTGGATTATTGATCATGCATTTTATTATATATAAAGGTCCCAGTGAGGGTAGCTGGAGGGCTGTTATTTGAGTTATTGGGACAATCAGTTGGATCCATTTGTTGAGGAATATGACATCTCTGTCGTACTCCGTTCTTGGCAAGCACAAAACTTCCTCCTAACTGAACTGCACATAAAAGGGAATGTGTTTAGCACAAATGTTCTGGGAATAACAGATGTTCAGGTTGTTCATTATCGACAACCTATTTCACTCCATTTTGGCAACATTGCTATCATTTTAATACAGGTGCAAGCTAACAGTGGCACTTGATTATTGTTTCATACCTTTTGGTCAGGAGCTTCTTGCTGCTGGAGGTCATAATGTGCCTAGAACAGTTCATGAAGTCATAGCATATCTTGCTTCCTGCCTTACACTGTGGGATGACAGGTAGTTAACTTGTTAATTTTCAGCTTGACTCAGGTATCTAATGTTCCTTCCTTTTGTCGTGACTGGATGTGATTGGCACCAGTTGTCTGAGGTAGACATATCAAGCTATGGTTTGTCACCTTTTATAAGATATTAAAAGCGGCTTTGTTTTAGTAACCTAAATATTGCTTGTATAGAAGGATGGATCATTTAGATTGTTAGTCTGGGTCATCCATGACAAATAAAATATTTTAACCTGAGTTGAGAACTGATCTTCTCTGAGGAGCAGGAAATTCTAATGTAGCTGGGGAATCGACTTTTGTGTACCACAATAATGTACATGTCCACCTTTTCCTAGAAAATATTTACTGCCTGAGACATAGTGATAGTTTTACGAATGGGTATAGAAATGTCTATTACAGGTTGCCTTGATGATTGGGGATTATATTGAGGCTACCTTTATTTAGCTAATCAGCCCCTCCTCAATCGTCAGAATCGGACCACATCCTAAAAAACAACCTTAGACCCTGGTCATAATTTCAGGCTCATATTGATAATTTGATACCCATTTTGCTCCTCATTCTTGAGTTCTTATTATTGCCAAGTATCAGATGACCATTCCAAATATTTCTCATCATTGAAACCGTACCTATTTTCTCTTTGTATGTCATATCATAGTCTAATAAGTGCATCAATTGATGTTCTGATACATATTATATTAATTGAAATTTCAGTAAGTCAATAATTTCAGTAATATGTCATGGTTGAAATTCTGTATGAAAGTAGTTTATTCACATTAGGTGAAGGTGTTTGTAAGTTGCATGACACATATATCACTATTTATACACCAATTATATGGTTCTCAAACTAACTTACGGTTTAACAATTTAAATTCATAAGGTTGTTTTGTAAATCCATCTTCGGTGAAGCAGATGAGATTGAATTGAAGTTTATGAACAGGTTCTTTCTTTTAAAATCATAGAAAATTTTCTTAAGAAGGTTTATCTGATATTTTCATGCATAGGTAATGTTAGTCAAAAATAGTTTCTTGTGAATAGGAGAAACCATGAGGACATGAATCTTTTTGGAGTTATTTTGAACCAAGAAATCAGAAGATTATCAAGGCACGTATGCTACTTTCCTCCACTGGAACAACATCCATCATCACAATGGGAAAATATTATTAGTATATCTGGTAGATTTTGATAACTTCTTAATATTACAAATTGCATAGCTTTTAGAGATATTTCTGACTAGTTTATTCATCAACTTCAGCTCGCAAAGAAGTTGAAGAAATGCAAATTTAGAGCATGCAATCTTTCACATGCCAAGTCGTTCTGTAAAAAAGAGGGTTGTTAGAAGCAAGTATAGTTACTGGCTGATGTACTATTCTTCTATTCTATTTGGAATACAAATCTAAAGTGGCTTGGTGGATTGTCCGATTTGTCTGGGTGAAAATTTGGCAGCTCATAACTAAGCTTAGTTGTTCAAACTTATTCAGATACTGAAATTGTATGTTCTTAATATTGGCACCGATTTTCACATTGATTGCTGCGATGAATTATGTATTGCAATCCGTTGTTTAAATAATTACATTTTCTTGGAAATGAAAGCCTCTAGTACTGGTAAGTCTTTTTAGTCCTTTACCCATAAATTCTCATCCTGTTTATGCCAACCGTGCTATTAGTCAGAAACCCTACAGTAATCAGGTAGAAGTCTTATATGGTCGCTGCCATTAAAATCATTGTGGTTCCCGCAGTGCATGTTCATGAATTTTGTCTTTTCCTTGTCAGGTTATCAGAGTGAAATGGTCACTCCATGCAAGAGAGGAGATTGTTTTTGAGCTTCTTCAACATTTTAGGGGGAATGCAGCAAGAACCTTGCTGGAAGGAAAAGGAGAGAGCACAAGGGAAATGATTGAAGAGCAAGAAGCGGTTAGTGGCCGTTTGTTTACAATTCAAGATGTTATGCAAAGCAATGTTCGAGCATGGTTGCAAGTTTGCATCCATTAACAAAACATAAACTAAATGAGTTTCATTAATTTCCTAGCCCGTCACATTCTTTTACCTTATCCTGGAGTTGATTTGATAACTTTCTTCATCTACTAGTAAATACATTAATGCAGGACAGAAGCCTTAGAGTAACTCATAATTTGGCTGTTTTTGGGGGTTGTGGCCTTGTTCTTTAGATCATCACTGGGCTGTTTGGTATCAATGTTGATGGGATCCCTGGATCAGAGAATACACCATATGCATTTGGTTTGTTTTTAGCCCTCCTCAGCTTCATAGGGATTGTGCTGATTGTCAGTGGTTTGCTTTATCTTGGATTGAAAAAGCCCGTCAATGAAGAGCAGGTGCAAGTTCGAAAGCTGAAGTTACAAGAGCTGGTTAAAATGTTCCAACATGAGGCAGAAGCTCACGCCCAGGTTCGACAAAGTACTTACCGGAACAACCTGACTCCAACTGCTGGAGATGCATTCCTGGATGATGCAGATTATGTTCTCATCCAATAAGACAATACGAATGCTCAAGTGTATAATGTATACCATTTGTTAGCATCTGCATTGATAGCTACGGATTGCTGACAGGAGATTAATTTTTTGTAGCACAGATGTAAGATTAAATCCGAAAGGAATTACATTCATTTATATCCCAGATTCCAAATTCTTTACTTGTCAGATGCAATTAGGTTAGAGGGACTGAGGCAATGCCTCTAGGCTTTGAGAGGGTTTTTAAGTTTAGCAGCTCAAATAGCATCATTACTCACTAATATCATGAAAAAAGCAACCTTGCAATAACAACAATGTACCATCCCAAGAATAAGCATTTATATTGCACCCAAAAAGGATAAAAATTATCCTGAGCACATCAAGTATAGTATCATGACAAAAAGATATGTCCTCTGGCTTCTCTCCTTTGGTCTGGCCACACATTATTTCAAGAGAGATCTTGTAAGATGTTCACGTGCAGTAGCCAATGCTTGAGTTATTGTCTGTACGACACCAAATGTGTTAACATGGTGGCAATGGTTATTGAGATTTCATAGTTAAAGCATTCAATTCTGTTTTCTAGGGAGGAAATAATCAGAAGAAGAATGAAAAAGAGGAACAAATGTTGCTTGTTTCAAGAACAAGGGTCATATACCTGCTCAGACAAAGGAGCTCCAGAATCCATACTATGACTAGCAACCTTCCCCGCGATAACATTTGCATCAGTTTCAAGAATGACACTGCACAAATGAAAACAGTCAATCAGGATGACAACACAAGCATCCTCATGGGACAGTTGCTTCTAGTGGCTTCCCCCTATCTTTCTTTTCCCTTGGTTCCATATCGCAATTCCTATCCTTTACTTTCCCAATCCCATACATCCCAACATAGTGAGCAAATGAAAAATCCAAGTACTAGTCTTTTATGTTTTCTTTTTCCGCCTATCTTCTTACCTACATCGTTATAGGGGTAAAACGTGTGATTAGTGCAGAAGCGTGCAGATGTTTAACCTAGTCTACCATCTCTATCCTCAATGGTGTTTAAGGAAGCAAAAAGAAGAAGGATCAAGAGACATTTCCAGCGAAGAACCTTCTTGCTTTAATGTAATATCTGTGGAAATCATGTCACAATTTCCAGCTGCAATAAATAACTTTCATTGACGTACGACTAGTCCGTTGCATGTCAAACTTAAAATCATACAACATATTTTTACCGACCAAACCCAAACTTTGAATCACACAAGATATTTTTACTGACCAAACCCAGATAAATACCAGAGACACTTTAATAATCATACAAGCAAAGAAAAGTGTTGACTGAAAGATTCATAAAACTACAATAGTACAATGAATGATAATTCATACCCGCCATCAACAATCTCATCAAGGCATAACAAAATAAAATCCAAGTTCTCCAATGCCTCCTTCTTGTCCACAGTGCCTCTGGAACAAGTGATAGTGAAAACAAGGAAAAGAGATCAAAATTAGGCATGGTGATATCACACACACATGTATCAGAAGATGGTAACAGTGGAAACTGGAAAGTCTTATGAAAAAACCTAAGGAGAAGTCCAACTGCATCAAAAAACCCCTGGAGTACCGTGGCTAAGATAATCTCATTTTCATTTTCGCCTCCAGTGACAAAAAAGTGAAGGTCTTGAACGAACTTGTACACGACAATATAGTTCTCAAACATTGTTATCTCAGCTGTAAACAAAACATCAAAGCACCATGTTAAAATAGCAATATGAACCAACACTTAAACCAATGCCAACCCAGGATGTTTTCTCATTCACCCGAATAAAAACACCAAGACAAAGTTCAAAACCATATCCTTGGTAAACCCTTTATGCTCAAGCAAACAAACTTTTAAATTCACAAATCCAATGAATTGATTAACTCACCATTTTCCTAATAAATCTATTAGAATCACAAGTATACACTCGGATCACACCAAACGTAAGGAAGCATTAACAGAAAGAAACACGGGGCAGAAACTAATTGACCTTCGGTACGGGCATTAGTCTTTTGGGTTTTGGTATATACAGCTTTCTCAAAGGATTCCTTAGCAGAATTTGTTGGCCAGTCATCTGAATAATACCTAACAGCTATTCTTTTCCCTTCGGAATCCAAAAGAAGGACGTTTTTAATTGAAGGGCACAACTCCTACAAACAAGAAAAGCAAAGCTCATTGAAGAATCAATTTTTTTCATAACAATAGCAATGGATTCAACTAACCAAGCTAATTAAAAGTAAAATAATAAATAAATAATGCCAATTTATTTTGAATTTAAGATGCTTTTCCAGTTCTCAACTTTAGCTTATTTAAAAGCCTACGATTATCAAATCTTTTAACTCTAAAAGAAAGAACTTGGATCTGAGTCTAACTGTTAGAAAAATAAATATCATAAAGGAAATTAAATTAAAAAACGAGGTAAATAGGTTTAGATCTGCCATAGAGATAACTGAACATAGCCAAATCAGATCTCAAAAACGCAAATTAGAAAATTTTTTTTCTTAAGTTCGTATAATTCAAAATTGAAAGACTGTGTCGTTGAGAGAGAGAAAGAAAGCTGACCATTTTTTTTTCTCGTTTAACAAGATTTTCTCGGAAATGATCGGATTTTTGGTTGACAGATGTTCTTCCCAGCTAAAACTGTGAGCGTTTTAAGCGACGAGAAGAACCGGACGGACCAGGGAGGAAATTGGTAAATGAAAATTTTTATTATTATTGCCACGAAATTAAAATTATTTGTTTCAGAGCATCTTTATTTGCTGTATTTTTAATTTTTGCCCCAATCTCTATACTTATTCAGCTAACGTAGTAATTCTCCACTTACGTTGACAATCGAAATCGTCTGGGTCAATTTCTTTTTTTGCTAAAATAATATAAAAATTTTGAATTTAATAATTTTATTTAGATATTTTTTATATTTTTATTACATTCAAATAAATTTTTAATCTTTAATTTATATTAAAATAAATTATTAACTTTTAATTTGCATTCAAATAAATTTTTAATTTTGAAATTTATATCTAAATAAATCTTTAACATAAATTTTCATTTAAAATAACATACAAATCAAAATACAAAAAACTTATTTCAAAAAATAAAATAATTCAAGAGATTTTTTTAGAATTTTAACTTTTTTAAACCCTTAAATATATTAAAATCTAAAATTTAATTCAATTAATTTAAATAATTATCCGTATAATATAACATACAATAAATTTAAAATTTAAATTTTATTGCTTACAATTACTTATTTATCTTCGAACTAAGGTTTTTTTTCGTAAAAAATAAAGATATTAAATTTTGTGTTTTTTATTTGAAAAATAAAGATTTCAATATTATTTTTTGAAAAAAAAAATCATACATCAATTAATAATAATTAGATGTTTAGATAAATAATTATTAGATAATCTTAAATGATTGTTAATATTTTTTATTAATTTTCTAGAGTTAAATTTAAATTTGAGTAGAGATAATAAACATTCATTTTAATTGAAAAGTATATATTGTAAATAACTAAATTAAACAATCCAAACCTTTCCTTTTTCAGTTTTAGTTTTATATGTATTAAAAACAAATGTTTTATAAATTTATTCATAAAATTTATTATTTAATTTAATTATATACATGAATATTTGGATCGATGCAATTTTTTTTTAATATACAAAGAATTGCATTTGAATTTGATGATTTCCATTTTATATAGAAAAGAAACACCATAATTATTATTAACATTTTCAACAATTTTTTTTCGCTAACACATTTTTAACATGGTTAATAACCTTGATTTATTTCTTAAAAAAAAGAATCTTAACTTAGAAAAAGCCATCTATTTTAAGTTTCTAGCCCAACAAATTAAAATTGATAAAGTAAAGGGAAAAGAGTGAGATAATAGAAAAATTAAGGATCAAACAAAAATTTCGATAACCTTCCGGAGTTGAATATTTCAACTAAAAACGTGTGGTTTCCTTTCTTTCTTTCAAAATGGCAGGATTTTTTTTTTTTTTTTTATAATGTTTGGCTTGAAATTAAAACCGAAGCATCATCAAGATTTGGCCAAATGATTGCGCGAGTGCTACGAACTGCTCTTCTCTCACTCTCTAAACCTCAGGTACCTAGTTATCCATTCAAATCTCTCTCTCTCTCTCTCTCTCTCTCTCTCTCTCATTTTCCTTTTTTTTTTAAATTTATTTTCAGGTACCTTTCCTTTCGCTTCAAATCCTTTTTTGACCTCATGGACGGTAATTTCTCTGAAAATTTTATTTTTTAATTAAAAATTGAATCTTTATTGCTGCTTCTAAGCTTATATGATGATGACATTTCAATTTCCCTTTTTTGTTGGTTTATATAAGTTTTTTGCGTTGCAATTAAATCCTTTATCAAGGTTTTTGGCTGAGTGTTAATTTTGAAATAAAGTTTATTGTGAGGGAAATCTTAACGAAATTAAAATACTGCGAACATATAATCTAGCTGGATTTGATATTAGTTTATATTGATCTTGTAATATTGGAATAATAGTAATAAAAATCGTATAATAAAAGTTATTTGTTTAATTTGTTAGAGAATTTTATTGTATGAAGAAGTATTTTGTATTATTATATGCAGTTCCGGTATACAAGTGACTGAGATTCTTCATGATCGTACTGGAATTTCATCAAATAGGGTATCGGTTTATGGATTTAGAACTTTTTGCACTGGCACTGATAAAGGTGTGTGAGGACCATAGACCATCTTATAATGTTGATACTATGAAGCAAAGCTGCCTACTACCATATCTGTGTCTTTTGGAATCAAGACGATGTCTTTGTGTTCATTTTTATAGCCTATACCATTTCGCCAAAGATTTAAGACCTTCCCCTCTGACGTTTTTTGAATGGGGCAAACTGAAGGCATTTTAATCATCATATTCTGGGAAATGGATTGTTTAACATTTTCTGAAATGGTGGTTATAAAGGTTTAAGTGACGCGTTGCTATGTTGAGATACTATACTTTGTGAAAAAAGTGCCTTTTCATTAGTCTCTTACATGGGAAGTTGGAGGCAGAATGATACAATCTTAATTCAATTGTTAAATTTAGTTTTCATTTTGATATCTTTGAAAAATCTGTATACTCTATTCTTTTATGATCTTTTCTTATTGTAGAAACTAAAATCAGTTTCTTTGGCAGCCTAAGAGTCTCTTTACATTTGCTTTTCAATTCCATGCTCCATAGCGCTATTTCTTTAATTGGGACCTAAAGTATCCATTATTCTTGCCTCCCCATATCATCTTGCACTTTATCTTGACTACGCAGAGTTTAAGAAGTAGGAATGAACTTCATTAGCAGATGTTGGGGTGAATAAATTGGCCAGGTGAGGTGGGATTAAGTTGGTCAATTTCCTTGACAAGAATACTTTTCCCTGACACCATTCCCTATTTGTTCAAAGTGTTATTATGTGTTAGGGGATTAAACCTGTAGCATATAACTGATACATAGAACTTTTCATTTCTCACTTTTTGGTGCGGTTTTTTGTGTACTATATATTGGCCATCATTAGTATCTAATGTTTTGTGATGATGTGACGAAATTAGATTTAATCACAATGGATGGTTCTTTTTGTCACATGTGGTTTATTTGCCTTTCAGATTTGTTGACTAAGAAGTGTGTGCCATGCAACTCAAAGGATCTAAGGCCCATGACTGAAGAAGCTGCAAGTAAACTAATTCCAAAGGTATGTTTTTAAAAGTTTATTAATTTTCTTCGTTACATAAACCAAAATCCTTTACTATTTAAGTGTGACCAGGTAGATGGTTGGAGTTTGGTAAATGAAGGTGGTACATTGAAGCTAAAAAGGTCTTGGAAAGTGAAGAGTTTCACCAAAGGATTGGAGCTGTTTCAGCTTGTCTCTGATATTGCTGAATCAGAAGGTACTTTGTGTAATGTTTTTTACCCAATACTGATCTATGGGAGATAATGACTGTCTAATTGACTTGCTGGTTTGGGGGGGGGGGGGGGGGGGGGGTGGGTTGGTCATTGCATGGATAAGTGAAAGTGTTGTTGTTAATGCAGGCCATCATCCAGATTTGCATCTTGTCGGATGGAACAATGTAACCATTGAAATATGGACGCATGCAGTTGGTAAGAATTATCTTCCCCATTGAAATACTCTCATTTTGTGTTGTTCCTTTTTGCTTCTTCCTTTTTCGGTCTGTTTACACTTGTTCTGTGTTTTTACTTTTACAGACTTTTGTTTAGAATGATTTCTTTATTATTTCTTTGTTCTTGAAACAACAAGGTTTTACTTAATTCCTGCATGAATAGAAGCAGAATTTCTCCACTTCTTGGATAAGCTGAAAGGCATGCGATTAAGTTTGGTCAATATTTTTTTATAATATTTACTGTTATGATGAATTATAGATAGAGCTGGCAAATTTTGTGTAGGTGTTCTAAGGGTTAGGGTTATATTTCTTCTCTAACTTTCCTGTAATGTTCAAACTTAATAATTCCTCGTGCATAGGTGGACTGACAGAAAATGACTTCATTCTTGCCGCCAAGATGAATGTGCTTGACCTGCAGCACCTCCTCAGAAAGAAGGTTAGTGCTTGATAGGTCAACTGAAATTTTACAAGCTCCATGAATGTTATACTTCAGCTCTAATTAAGATGTTGTCACTTGGTTGAAACTTACTAGTCAGAAACAACTAAGTTAGGCTACAACTTCTTTAGTTTTTTATTTTTTAAATGTTTTTGGTTTGAGATATGTATTCTTTATTATATTAGATTTTGACGTTTTTCTTTTGTGGATTATAGAAAGATGGATAACTGGATAACTAAACGCCATGGGGTTGTTTGAGTTTGTAAATTTGGAATACTTTGCTGGTAAGGCTACGTTTGAGTTTCATTGTTAATATTCTTTGTTTTTTTTTTTTTTTTTTTTGAGCGATCTGTAAATTCAATTGAAGTTTTCTGTAAGACTTGTGAACTGTCTCACTCTTGAAATGGAAAAACTTTCCTTTATCCTTTTCGACCAAAAAAAAGAACTAGATAACTAAATGAAGAACATGCTATATGCCGAATCCAATTTATATAGAATTAATGAGTTTCCAAAGATGTGAATGGTAAATTTTTGGTTTTTGGTTTTTGCAAGCATTAGTCTACTCTTGCCTCCAAATGAGATCCTCATCTTTATGTTGGATTTTTGAAGCCTTGACTAAACCTGGTGGCTTTGCCAGTCAACTTGTATCCATGTTGGGACCCTTGCTGCATTGATAGACTCATGTATGGATATCAAGTGTTGCATTGTGACTGGTAGGACTGGTCCCTAGATTTATATATGCAGATATTTGTGTAGAAACAGACTTAAGTGACAGAACGCAGGATTCCTCTTCCCAAATTAATATGTAAAATTAAATTAATGCAGAAAAAAAAGGAACAAATATTAGGAGGAGGCTGAAGACTTCTGAAGGACAGGGCTGCACCGCAGCAGCTTTAGATTTCTTTATATATATATATATATGTATGTATTTATATATAATTATCGAGTACATATCATGGATGCATGGAGTGGTCAATAAGGAGGGACACAGCTGCGGATGCTCCAACAAAGTTGTCCCCCACTCGACTGATATGATTCAAAGATTCTGAGTGGATCACTTACGAGGAGACTATCGCAAGATAGTACATGCAGAAAGCCTTCTTTTTTCAACAATTTTTTCATACGTTTGCTTGCTATCCAAAACAAAAAAAAGAAATGGTATTACTCCATTATTTGAGATTTGTTCTAGAGATTTATTTGTAGACAGCAACAAAATGTTATACCAAGAAGTTGAAAAATGAATATAAAATAACCTTGAGGTTTTACAATACCCTCTGCTCCATATAAATTTTTTGGACATCTACAATCTTTACGACATGAAGAAGCAGCCGAAATCCTAATCCACATTAGCGGAAATAAATAAATAAGTTGCTTTTGTTACTCGAGCAAAATTTTCTTCCAGCTTTTCTCAGTGTTGTCGTTAATCTTCGGACTGGTGGTGGCATGTTTCCCGCATCCAAGCAATTGTTATCTGACATCAATATCTGGGAAAACATTGGAAATTCACTCGTTACAATCAGAATAGGAACAGATTAAATGTAAACTAGATGCAAATTTTAGCCTCCCACTTAATATGCTTTTATAATGCAGGGAAATAAGTTAAAAGCTTTATCCAGAAAGTATTCTTGAAGAAATTAATTGATTCTAATCACGATCTTCCAAAAATAATGATAGGAATAATTGGATTGCAAAACATCAGAAAGGATGGAAATTAGACATTATTCAAACAATGGAAAGAAGTCGATTTAGGCTTGTAGCTTTAGATCAGATAAAAGTTGCATTAGACTTAGGTCAATCTCCAGGTGATTTGTAACCAAAGGCCTTCTTCTCACATATCAAGACCTCAACTCTGATCACTTATAGCAACAAATCCAGACCAAACCAGAAGAAATTCACACACAAAAAAAGGAGTGACTGTTAAATCAAATACAGGTTCAAATGCAAATGCTATCATTGAGATATGAAAACTTACAAGTAGAAAACCATACGCTCAAGGTACAGCAAGAAAAGCAACAAGTTTCATTAATTCATTATTACATTGACCTTAAACAACAACAATTCACTTCAAGTCTTCAACTACTAGGATCATGTCACTATTAATACACAATGAATATGCCTCACCTTCACCTCAGATCAAATAACCACCTAACCCAAAAATGCAATAAAAATGCAGCGATATGCAGAAGATTTTCAGCTCCCAAAGAAAAAAAAAAAAAACAAACAAAAACAAATTCACCCAAAACTCCTAGTACCAAACTGTGAAAGAAACTCAAGCAAAATTACCAAATTATAGAAATTAAGCTAATTAATTACCTACAAAAATTCAATGAATCCTCAATCCCAATCATCACTTTGAAACAGGCTTTTGCAACAAAGCAGTCAAGTAAACTTCCCCATTCTTCAAACCACTTGGATCAGTCTTATTAGCAACTGCCCACTTCACTTTCTTATACCCAAGCTTCCCGATCAATGGCCCATAAACTTTGTCCAGATCCACTCCTTTACTAAAGAATCGATCCACCCACAAATACCCTCCCCCTCTCAACGCTCTATCCACATCATAAAACATAAACTCCATAACCGACACAGGTATCCACCTGTTCACCGCCCTCCCACACCGGACCAGATCCATCGTCCCGTCGAAGACCGGTAACCTCTGCTGTAACGGCACGTGTAAAGCCACCAACCCTCTCAAAGCCACGGCTTCATTGTAAGGTGCATTGACGTTCATGGTGGTGGTCAGCATCGTAACATTGTAGAAAATCTTCATTATAGCTGCGAAGGTTCCAGTTCCCCCGCCTATGTCAATGCCAAGACGGATCACTGAATTAGCTGACTTAGCCAATTGCATGAACTGGTTAACGGGAAGATCGAGTTCAGAAGCGTATTTTAGCAAAGAAGAGCGTTGGGCGTTGAGATCGAAGCCTATGGGGTTGTTTTGGGAGAGACAGGCAAAAGATTTACATGAGTATTTGTTCCAGATTACAGAGGAGTCGGAGAGGGCCGTTGGGAAAGGGTTAAGGGGAAGAGAAGAAAGGGGTTTTGATGGGGTTTTTGAGAAGCAACGCCGTCGTGGAAGTGGGTGGCAACCGTTGAGAATAAGGGTTTCTTGGAGGTCAGGATCGTAAGGGCATATTGAAAAAGCAGTGTAATTCATGTATCTATGGAGAAGGTCAGGGTGGTTGTGGCAGGAAGAGGCAATGGGGCCGATTTGGGAATGGAGGATGAGATCTTGAGGTACGGTGGAGGTGGGTTTGGCAGCAGTCGTGGCGGTGGAGGGGTTGTGGCGCGTGAGGTGGTTGATGGTGGCGCGTATAGTATTCAGCTGGCGTAGGAGGTGATCAGGGATAGGCGTAGGCGAAGGCGGTTTGGGAGATTGGACGGTGGAAGAGAGGTGGTAAACGGAGAGGATGTTAGTCGCCACCATGGCTAAGAGAAGGAGGAAGTTCAATCCCATGGTGAAACCCATTGATTCTGTTCTTCCTCCTAGCTATTTCTTCTTACTAGGATACTTTGATTCTTGGGTTTTTTTTTTTTTTTTTGGCTTACTTAATAGCTTTTTGTCTGCTTCTTCTTTTGATCTTAATTTTGGAGATTTTACTAGTTCATCTTCATCACTTCTCACTTTGCTCAGTTTCTCACAGGGGTTTTTGACGTATATTTCGCTTTTAGTTTGAGTGAGGAGTAATAAATGACAGCAGATTATTCTGTTTCAACTGCTCGAGTTTTGGTTAAATGTGGATTGACCTAATACTTTTTGGGTGGGCCTTCATATTTGATCTGGGAGATTGAATATGAACCGCTTGTTAGACTCAAGTAGGGTCATCAGTCGCTAAAAATGAAAACAAAAAAAATGATAGAAGAATCTCTTGCAAATTGCAAATCAAATCTTTAGGATTGGAAGGAATCCAAGCAGAAAGGAAAAGGGTGCTAATTGCAATCAGTGACTGTAAAGTGCAAGGGCTTCACGGGATCATAAATATTATTAGTCTACTTGGTTTTGTTGAAGCAATTTCATGCAGCAATTGGGTCAAGTTGGATCATCTTTCTAGAGAGTTGGGTAGTTGGGCTGGAGTAGGACTCAACCTGAGTCTATCCAAGCCCAATTTTGTGACCTTTTTTTAGTTAATTATTTAAGAATTTATATTTTGCTTGGTCGTGGGTATACAAATTTTATGTATTGTTCGGAACGATATTATTTTATTAATAAAATAAATAAAATAATACTATCTCATTAATAAATAATTTGTTAAAAAATATTAATTTTAAAATTTGATATTTACTTATTATTAAAATTATATTATTTAATTTATTAACAATACAAAATTTATATATTTATAAATCATGTTTGATACATAAGATTATCAATAGGATAAAATAATTATTATTTTATATTATATTTGATTTGTATGTAAAGAGAGATATAGAGATTACAAAAAAGATTAATATTCTCTTGACATAAGATTATTTAATCCTCTAAGTGAAGATGATTATTTTTAATTTATGAGATTAAATTTATATATCCTACTAAATCTTTAAAGATTATATCAATAATTTAAATTATATAAATTTAAAAAAAAATAATTTTGACAAATAAATAAATTATCATATCTTAATCATTGTATATATCAAATACAAAATAAGTTGATATTTTTTATTTAATTCTATTTATAATGTTATCTTATATTATCTTATTATATATTCTATATCAACCATGATCATAGTAACATATATTCTATAATATAAACTCATAATCAAAATTAAAGGAAAATTGATGCACTGTTGTGGGCCTACTAGTCGAAGACAGGCTACATTAACACAATGATTATATAGATATTAATAAAAAAATAAATTAAATAAAAAAATAAAATAATTTCTAACAATTATTATTTTAATAAATTAAAAAAATAAAATAAAATAATTCATTATAATAAAAATTTTCAATTATAATTTTCTTTTATAAAGTAACATATAATATAAAAATATATCTTTATACTACTTAATTTGCATAAACAAATATTTTTAAATAAAATTAGATATATTTAATGCAGTAAAATTTATTATATAGTTATTGATTTACTTTTAATTTTATGTTTAATTTAATTTTTTAATTTATTATAACACTAATTTAACTTGTTTTATTATTAAGATTTAAAAAATTATAAAATATTTATAAACTGTGATATTATATAAAATACTCATAGAAAATTTATTTTTATAAAAAATATAAATTATATAATTAAATTTAATATCATAATAAAAATATAAATTTAATAATTTTTTTTTATAAAAAGAAAAAATTTCAACATTTATTTCTTTAGCTTTTATCTTAAATTGAGATATTAAAAAAATAAACATTACAAAAAACAATTATTGGGTTTGTATCTTTTTTTTTTAATTAAGTTTTTATTTAAATAAATGAAAATTTTTTCCGATTCCGCCACTGTACTTTTTTTTTTTCCGCTCCTTTCCTTTCCCTCCGCTAAATGCAAACATGGTGTAAAGCTAAAGCCTGTTGTGATCTCAAACGCTCGAATCCAGTATTCTCAAACCGATGAAGAAGGCGCTAACCTGCTTTTTGGAGGAGGGGATAACACTCTCGAATCCATGGTATTTATTTCCATTCTCCTTTCTTTTCTAACTAAATTTCTTGGCAACCAAACATCTCATTGGGCTTTCACTCCTTCGATTCTTGTTTTCTATCTTTGTTTGAACTTTGAATATTCCATTTACACTTGGTTCATTAGAGCTTTTAATCATTTTTGGTCTGTAATTCCAAGGTCTATTGTAAGCGGTTAAGTTACTCTTTGCTGATGTTTTTGGAATCCTAGGGATTTTAAATTTTCCTAATTTTGTAGGCTGATCCTGAACTAGAAGCAATTAGACGAAGAAGGATGCAAGAGCTAATGGCTCAACATGGAGTGGTAATCTATGTCTTTTCATTTTAATTTGTACGAATTCTTTCTATTAAAGAATTTTAATTTGGTTTGCTTGTGCTTTTAATTTAATGGTACTAATTAGAATTTTCTGATTAATAGGGGAACCAACAGAATCCTGATCAACAGAAAGATCAGGAAGATGCCAAGAGGTCTGTTTTTTGTATATGCTTATTGTTTCTAAGTCTTACATGTTGTAAGACTTTTTTTTTTTTTGTTTTGGGATCAAATTAAATGATCGATTTGATGATTAAAAGCCATTAATTTAGGGAGGCAAATGAACGGAGGCAAATGATGCTCAGTCAGATTTTGTCCATTGAAGCACGTGAAAGACGTAAGTTTGAATCACAATTCACCATTTGAGTGGATTAAAGAATCCTGTTGTTAATTGCTTAAATCTTTGTTTGTATGTGGATTCTCTCAAGGAATTGCTTACTGTTCTAAGTTATTTATCTGATTATCAAGTTTAATGTTGCATTCTATTCATGATATATAACTGCCATGTTAAATCTTTGAATTTAGTTTACTTTGTGTAAGGATGTTTGTGTTTGTCATCATGGTTGGGAATAGTGAATTTATGCTTTAGAAAGCATGGAGAAGTGTGCTTATTTCTAGTTTTTATTTATATTAAAAAGACCTAATTTTGGTATGGAGTTTAAAAAACTGTGGGAGGCATACAATTGGAAATCTCACAAGGAAAGATGTTAGGATGACAGGGATTCTTTTGATTTCCTAAACATCTTGCATGTCAAAAACTGAATTTGATCTGTTTTCTACTTCTCTTTATGACCAAGGCACAGATTAGATTTGAATTATGTAGTGCGAGATTTGTGAATATAAAGCTGCGAAAATCTGAATTGAATAGAGCTTATGAGGATTGTATAGGTGGAAGGTTTAATTCATTTATGAAATGGAAAGCATGAATCACAGTATGATGTGATTTTCTCTTTGTTGCAAACTCCTATCATGTACAAATAACGCATAGAAACTTTCAGTGATATATCCCCTATACCATCACAGCACCTCTCATTCCGTTGTCTTTGGAAAGTTGAAAAGAATTTAAAACAATAAGATAACTACATGAAGGAAAAAGAGTACAATGAATTAATGGCAGGCATAGATGACAGATAAGGGGTTATACTTCTTTTTCCTATATATATTCCTTGTCATTTATGTTCTTTGCTGTTATACATTTTGTGCAGTTGCTCGAATTGCCTTGGTGAAACCTGAGAAGGCAAGAGGTGTGGAGGATGTTCTACTACGAGCTGCTCAGATGGGTCAGATAGTTGAAAAGGTATGGTGAAATTTTTATTGTCTAACTGCTTTTTGCTGCATGCCTAATATTAAGGGGTGCAATTGTTCTGTACCACATCTGTAGCTTAGCATAAAGAACTGAAATGTTTATGGCTGAACCGATGTGAAGGTTTCTGAGGAGAGGCTTATATCACTCCTGGAACAGATAAACACCCAAACAACTAAACAGACCAAAGTCACAGTAAGTCATCATACATTGCTACTTGTTTATTTTTCACGGCAAAGTTTGAAGTATTTTGATTTTTCTCCATTATTTATCTGATTTTACAGATCCAGAGGCGTCGGAGTGTTCTTGATGATGATGATTAGTTCAAATGTGAAACATGGACCCATTTTTAGTGTTTTTTTCTATTTTCGACTGTATTACCTTTCCAATGCTCTGTTGAGCAATAAACCTGGTGGTGGATTACAGTTTAGTGAGTCATGTGAAAAATGCTGTATTAGTTCAAATATTATGGAGGCAGAGGTTTGGCAACTGATGATTCGTCTGGAAAGCAGTTGTTTGCCTTTTTTCTGTTATATTTCTACAAACTAATATGCTGAATGAGTTATGTTTGTTGCAATATTAAGCAACCCAAAGTAGCATTGTGGTGGACAATCATTGGAAAGCTGTCCTTTAACCAGTAAAATACTCCAATAATTTATCAAAATCTATCTTTCTTTTCTCGTCACTTGGATCCTTCTGCTTCCATTATCTAAAACATCTGAGGCTCATGGTGATTGCGATTAATTATTCATTTTCCTTTTCGGCCTCCAATTCGAAATAAATTTGTAATCCATCCAAACCAAGGAACAGCTTCACGTGCCGGTTGGCATTGTGGCCCAATCAAAATTCTCGAGACCCGCTCAACGACACACAAATCCTTCGCACCGTCACACGCACTTTTTCAACAGCGCGTGACTTTTGCATATCCCTCTTCCAAGATCGAAGAAACTACCGACACTTTTTGTTTGTTTGTATCTCGTACGCACTCCATGCCTTTCATGAGGTGAGATAAAATAGATCTTTCGTTTCACTTAAAAGATTCCCGAAACAAAAGGGGATGCTCTCTCGTCCATGTTCTACACATAAAATACAATTTACACGCGCATTCTCTCTGTTTGGCTATATGGATGTGCTTGAGAAAACTCTGATCGGTTCTTTTTCATTTCCTTTGACTTTCAGATGCGTACCGCCACCTTGTTTCATGTCTCTCTTTACATTTCACATCCCAACCGATATCCCCAAAATCTGAATCCAATTTTCATATGGAAACTGATCCTTTGCTTCCGTTCGTAAGTCCCAGGAAGAGAACAACGCCAACGCTACCTCTCTTTCCTCTTCCAGAAAACGATGAAGTTTCTCTCCCTGTCCCTTTAACCCCATCAGAATTAAAAGATAGACTCATATTTGGTCCGTCTCCTTCCTCTACCTCTTCTGGAATTGGATCATCTCCAATCTTGGATGCCTTAACTTCATCCCTTCACTCACCCCAACCGTCCTCTTCTTCTTCTCAAGAAAACGTTATAAATCTTCAAGTCCCTCTTTTACAACAAAACCTACTAAACTCACCCACAACAGCTTCATGGTTATTAGACCCAAATTTCACATGGGAAAAAACCAATCTTCACAGGTCCAAAACGGCACCTGCCATGGCAGTTTTAAATGATATCATCCATCCTTCAATTCCCAAGCCTCCATTTGGTTCCCAATCGATTGTAAGACAAGCTTTTGTTCTTTTAGTGTTATATTTATCTTTGGGCGTTGTTATATATTGGTTTAATCGTCATAATTTTGTGGGCCATGTAACTCACCCTGTTGTTGATGCATTGTATTTTTGTATTGTCACAATGTGCACAATTGGATATGGTGACATTACCCCTAATAGCGTGGCTACCAAGTTATTTTCAATATTATTTGTGTTGGTTGGATTTGGTTTTATTGATATTTTGCTTAGTGGGATGGTTAGTTATGTTCTTGATTTGCAAGAGAATTATTTGTTGAGAACTGTTCAAGATGAGGGTAAAAAAAGGGACTCCGCGAGATCTTATATAATTGATGTGAAAAAGGGGAGAATGAGGATAAGAATGAAGGTGGGATTGGCATTAGGAGTTGTGGTTCTTTGCATTGGAATTGGTAGTGGTGTTATGCATTTTGTTGAGAGTCTTGGTTGGTTGGATGCTTTTTACCTTTCTGTTATGTCTGTTACTACTGTTGGATACGGTGATACGGCGTTTAAGACATTGCCTGGTAGGATTTTTGCTGCCATTTGGTTGCTTGTTTCGACTCTGGCTGTTGCTCGAGCGTTTCTGTATTTGGCTGAGGCTAGAGTGGACAAGAGGCATAGGAGAATGGCGAAGTGGGTGCTTGGACAGGACATGACTGTCTCAGAGTTTCTCGCCGCTGATATTGACAACAATGGTTTTGTCAGGTATGCTATTTTATAGAATTTGGTTAGTATCTAATTGTGCATCTCCATCTTTTTAAGTTTCTAGTAATTGTGTGCTTGAAGCTTATTGGTTAAGGCAATAATACCTGAAAGGTTGATATAATAATTCCAACACTTACTGTAGTTTTCCCCTTTTCCTCGATAACTGCTGTACTCTTTTTAGTTCATTAGTTGACATTTTATTTTATCAGAAAATAGTTTTTAGTTTTGTTTCAATTTAAAGGTTACAGAGAAATGTATTTAATGAAAGCTTGAAGAACTCATATTTGGAGTCATGGTGAATTTTATGTCTCATGTGTTATTAACATCCAATTGCTTAAATATTCAAATAACAGATTCTCAATCCAAGTCACTTTTAATGCATAACTTCTCAAATTGGAATCAGATTTTTATTTGTAGGCCGTTTTTGTTGGAATTGCGTTATATTATGCTATTAAAATCATGTGTCTCCCTTGTGAGCGCAATTTGGATGCCACATCTGCTCTCCCTCATTTGCTCTGTCTGCTAGGTCAAATATGATCTTCTCAATCGAATTGTGATAATCATCTTCACTTTCTATTACCCCCTTGCAGGACATGTTCAAAAACACTACAAAAAATGTGCCCGAATGATACCTTTCCTTTTTGAAAGCATGCCATAAAAGGACCAGAAGAAAAAATTTCAAATTGCCAATCCCAGAAAATTGGGATTAAGTAGTGTATTTGAGTTATATTGACACTGCTACTATCTGAAGCCTAGAATAGACTAGATAACTGTGTCTTTAAAGTGAGGGCCTTTGAGATACTTTATTGAGGACAAACTGAGGCCTTTTGCATTTTGAGCTGTCCTATACTGCTGCTTCTTGTCATGCTGCTAGTTTCTCAATCAGTGCTGTTTATCTGCGGCATCTATTCCCTCGTGGACCACATTTTATGAATATCTCAGACCACAGTATTGTACATGGGTCTAGATGATTATAAACAGGAGCAGTACATCGTTGCTTCTGTGATGCATCCATTGGGATACATTCCTTCTTTTGTCGATGACTTATTATTGATTCAGTTGTTTATTAAGGTGTTGCAGTTGTAAGATTACAATCTTCTGATTCTCTATCTTGGTGCTCACTGGAGAGAAAACCTGATTTATTTCCTATCATATGTATTGTCATTTGCTGCTTAGTGGACTTGAGTGCAAAAGCCTATGAGGCTATGATAATGTAACAATGATTGAAGTCCTTAAGGTGTTACATCATTTGACTAGATTTTTCCTACTGGATACACTGGATATCGTTTTACTTTACCACATTGCATTACCCTCAGACATTCCAGTTCTTAAAATGTTCTTAGTAATTTGTATACCATTATCTTTGTCTTATGTCTAAGGATCCTAATTTATTCTAAAATTCCATTTTCGTCTTCAATATTGTTAGTTTCTGTTCATTTATGGTGAATTAATCTGTAGTTTACTTGATTCATTGTTGAGTATTAATGTCGGTTTATACATGCAGCAAATCAGAGTTTCTCATTTACAAGCTCAAGGAGATGGGAAAGGTTTCAGAAAAAGACATTATGCAGATCAGTGAGAAGTTTGATAGGCTGGATGCTGGTAAATGCGGAAAGATAACTCTTGCCGATCTTATGGAGAGTCATCATTAATATGCAAGTAACCTTGCTTATAATCTTCCTTACGATACAATGAAGGTGGCATAGAAAGTCATAGATGACATCAAATCATCAACTGCAGAAAAGGCTGGTTCGCATTGAAGGCAAGTGATGATGTTTTTTTCGAACCTTTATGCATGTTCAGTTGGTCCTCTCGCTCATCCACGATGTCCGCGCCATAGATAAACGATCCCTATTCCACTTTAATTGTTTCTTTCTTTTTTAGGGTTGAAACTTGGTCAGACAATCCTGGCCAATGCATCATTCAGCAACTTGACTCGTGGATTGCCTTTTCTTGGTTGGATGGATGGAATGGACGATTCATCTGACTGGTGGTTTATGGAATTTTGTACAAAAAATTTCTTCATATAAACAAATTGCATTCATTCTTTTTCTTTTTTTGATTTATAAAAACAAAGGGCCATGTCTATCTCTCAATGTCATAATCTTGTTCACAGCTGTTTTTTGTTTTGAAAAGGCAGAATAAAATATGAATATTATCTATAGGTCGTATGACATTTTTTTTTTTTTGTTCGGAGCTGTAAGACAATATAAAATTTCACAGCTTCACAACTTGAAATATCAAACATATTAGAATAAACAGGGAATTAAATCCAACAAAAAGAAGACAAAAACTAGATCATATGACTTAAATGATTGTCGCCATAAATTCAGATTTCAGACTCCGAACTTAAAACAACTACATGCTCCAACAACCATAACTTAAAAATAACTTACAAAGAGAAACCCAATCTCACACAGACATGATATTATCTTCATAAATTTTTCCAAATCAATTAGAAAGTGTTTCAGCTTTGGTTGATAACTAACTGCAAAAATAATCTGGCAGTGATTTATACTAAAGATTAGCAGGGAAAAAGTACTGGCTGCGGGAAATATTGATGTTAATTTCATTTGTTGTAATGGTTTTATGGTCGCCCAACTAATTTAGAGACGAAAAGAAAAAAAAATAAAAAATGAAATTGTTATTAATTTTTTTTTATTAGATGCGATTAGTGATTTATTAAAATATATTCTTTCAATAAAATCTTAAAATTAATTAAAATTCTTTAAAAAGATAATTTTAGAGTCTGCAAAATAATTTGGATTCAAGAGTTGATTATGCGTAAGAAAATATTAGTATCCTCACAGCACCTGTTTAAAATTATTTTAATTAACTACATGTTAGCCATTAATTTTGATAAAAACAGTATTATTTTTGGTGTGTAAAAATAATTTCCTTGATTTCTTTCATTTATTGGAATTTGGTTTTTTTTTAATTTATTATATTTTGTTATTTCATTTTTATTTGAGAAAAATAAATTGGAATAATGTTATTAAAGTAACATTAGAAGAACTCTTTTTCACCTAGATATTACTTAAGTATTACTTCTCGAAATATCTTAGAATATCATCTTTGATGGCTCAGATTTAATTTTTGTAAAAAAACTATGTTATGCATGTAATGCAAATGATAATATGTTGATGCACACATTTTATTTTACTTTTAAAAATATTATTATTATTTTTATTTATAATTATTGTTTTGGAGAAAAAGAGAAATTTTTATTATATCGAAAGTTTTTCTATAAATATTCCAATACACTGGTAGTATTTTAAAAACATTTCTCATATAAAGATTTCGTAATGCATCATTTTTCGGAATATTTTTGGAATCTCATCATCGAATAAAATTTTATTTTTTTCTCATTTTTTATCACTTTATTTTTAACAAATTAACTAATTTTTATTTACTACTTTATAACCAAAAAAAGAAAGAAAACTTTTATTGTATTGAAAACTTTTTATAAATACTTTAATATGTTGATAGTATTTAAAAAAATCTTCTTACTTAGATATTTAGTAGGTATCAGTACTCGAAATATTTTTGAATCTTATCATCGGATAAAAAAATTTTTCTTACATTTTTACTATTTTTTTTAATTTTAAAAATCTACCAAAGGTTAGGTATCATAGTCATTAATTATTATTTTTTTTTTGTCATTACTTTATAAAGTTTATTCCAAATTTTAACAAAATTATAAAAAATTTTAGCTATGTATTTTATTATTTATTTATTTTGTTATTTATTAATATTACAAAAACAACAAAATTTTATTCTAACAAATTTAAGCATTTTAACATACATAAATACTAATAATAAAATTTAAAATAATAAAAATAATATTCAAAAAATAATTCAAAAATTTTTTTTACCTGAACAAGATCGATCAATGTTGATCTAGATGGGTTGGTCTGTAGCAGTCTAGACTGATCAGTGATTTAACTGGACCTGTCAATGGTGAGGGGTGCTGTGTCAGGTGTGTCAATCCTAGGTCGGGTCTTGGATCAAATCGCAAATCCTTTATGTCTTAAAGGACGTCGTTTTTATCTTGACAGTAACTATAAATGCATAAATTTTTTTAATTCATTTTCCTTCTTCCCTCTCTCTTTAACCCTTTTTCTCTAACTCCAACCGACCACAATTACTCTCAGAATTTGCCATCGATCATCGTGCCATCCATCGATCATAGTTGCCATCCATTTATCATCGATTGTCAAAAAATTCAAAAATTTCAAAAAACTTTTCTCTCAATCTGCTAAACATAGATTCAAGCTTAGTTTTGTGAGCAACAATCTTGAATTATGTAGATTAAGGCTCAAGGTTACAGCCAAATTTTTTTTATGTTTTTTTTGAAAGGCAGTAAATCTCCATTATCAGGGATTGAGTTTCTTCATGTTTGTGTTTTTTTTTTTGTTTGGTATCTTAGGTTTTTTTTTATGAAGATTTTCTTAGATCTGACAATTTTTTTGATCTAATTTTTTTACAGGGTTTTTTCATGGCTTTTCTCTTTCTTTGTGGTTATATTTATAAAGTTAGATTAGAATCAAAATCTCAAAATTGTTTAGATTTTTTTTAAATTTTGATTGTCTAAGGATAAGAGAATCATCAGACTGTGGCTATCATAACTATTAATACTAGGATTGTTGTGACTGACAAAAAAAATAAAAAAAAAAATTAAAAATTGAAAAGAAAAACGAAACGAAATAATAATAATAATAATAATAATACAAATAAAAAATGGCGGTTACATCATTCCTTTTGTTTTTCTTCTTCTTCTTCTTCTTCTTCTTATTTTGCAAAACGACAAAAAGAAGAAAAAATGGTTGGAGGAAGTGTGGTCTGACGTCCTCCTCCAGTACCTGCTGCACTCATTAGTGATAATACTTGGAATCTTTCAGTCTTGAAGTTAATGATGTTGTTTTTCTTGCTGAACCAATGATGTTGAAAACCCACCTAATCGTTCTTTCTAATTCCATCGTACAGCCGACGCATTGGTTCAATTTGGTATCACCTTGACTTCTGTTAACTTGAATTGTGAATATGTCATGACTTGCTATTCCATCAGGGCCAATAAAATGCCCAATTTTCCCGATTCAAAAAGTCAACCGCACGTTCTAACTCCTATATTTAACCATTTACACCAGGAAGTTGGAATCAAATAACCACTGAACTCTACATTCAAATAAATCAGTGAATGACATTTTTTAGTGGGTTTTTTTTTTTTTTTTTTTTATGTACTGAGTATAAATTTTCTTGAAAATTTTGGAGGTGGGAACTGTAAGAAGGTAAAAGTGCAGAAAAGGCATTCGAGTGTATGTATTTCTTGAGTCTGTAATTCTAATGCACTTTTAGTTTGTAGGTGTATTAATTTGACCTGAACAATGCAAACTATTCTTCTACAAGTAGTTGGCACTCCTACAATCTTTGACAATAAAAAGTACTAATGGTTTCTTTCTTTTATATTGTTATTGATACTTTTAATTTTCTTATCGGCTCTTTTCCCCCCACTCATTGGTCAGTGGCAACTCTCATTATTATCTTTTTGGTTTGAAAATTCAAGTTCAAGAACCCAATCCATTCAATTTTTTTATAATTGAAATTATCAAAAAAATTAAATTTTGATTATTAAAATTAATAACTTTCTATCAACAAATTTCATAATTGTTGCAGTCATCATTAATCAACAAAAAAATAAGTTTTTTTTCTTTTCAAGTTAATACCATATATATATATATATATATATATCATGTCACAACTTCTCCTTTAACCACTCGCTCAAGAGGTTGTTTAATGTATTATACTTGATTTAATTACATAATATTTACATAAGAGTTGAGTGTTTACCAAGGTAGGGACACATATAACCTTTTTGAGGCTTTGAAGTTTGAATTGATGCAAGTGTCCAAAAAATACCGAGAATAAATAATTTAGAAGAGACTTTGGCCAAAAAGTTGTAATAATAAATAATTTATAAGACATTATAGCACAAAAATATCTCATTATATTCACATTCTGCGTTAGGTTTGAACAAGACTAAGGAGGAAAAAATATGGTACAAATGTTTATTAATTAATTTGAATATGGTTTTTCTTATCACACTTTAGTTGTAAGTGTTGTAATTATAGTCGTATTAATTAATTAAATTAAATTTAAATTTTTATATTAAGAATTTTTATATTTTTTTCAAATGGTTTTTATGAGCTTTGATCAAATTTTTTAAATTTATATTTTCACAATAATCATATAATAGCGAACTCAATCAAATCAAATTCAACTAAGATAATTTTTTAAGTTGAGTTTGAATATGAAAATTGAAGTCAATTGAAACTTTAAATTTAGGTTGGAGTTTAAGTCGCCAAATATCCACTAAGCTTAATTCTATTTAACAAAACTCAGATATTGAATTTGAGCCCCGCTCTTTTATCACTAGATCAAAGACTTTATTGGCTGCAATTATACTTGAAATCTTGGATTATGGTAGCATTTTTGCTTCTTTGACAGAGTCATAAATGGATAAAGTGGAGCTACAAATATAAGCAAAAGCATCATTTTCTGTTCAAAAATAAGGTTCATACTATTGGCCCATTTATTTTTTTCAAAAACTAAGCATTTTTGCTTGGAAAATTTTGAAACTAGAGCGAGCCCACAATTGCAAACAACAATTTGTAGGAAAAAACAAACCCATCAAAATTATGAAACTTTACATTGAAGTCAAGTCTTTTTTTTTTTTTTATTCTCTCGAAGGTGTTCACATCATCATCATGACAAGACGAATGAAATCAATGCAATCTTTTTGTAATCTACCAGGGGAGAAAATTCAGTGAATTAGTGAACTTTTTTGATTGTTGAACAAATAAAAAAGTTGCCTTTAGGCCACACGTCTCTCTCTATATTCTTGTTTCCATAAAGCCAACTTTAAATTTACATTCAAAAGTTCACTTAATTAAAGCTATAAATCCTTTTGCAATCCCATCAGAATCTCTTAGCTTAACTTTCTGATGCTGGATAAACAGCACCCTAACTCAGAAAGCTGTTCAAAGT